GTGTGTGTGTGTGTGTGTGTAAAAAGTTTCCATATATTAGAATTGCTGGAAAGCGGGTCCAGCGTCCATTGACATATAATGATGAGTAATTGAAACCAAAGATGCTGGGAAACGGGCCCAGCGTCCCCTGTACCTCTTCACCCTCATCTGAGTGGCGCCAGATTCCTCGTCATATAGATCTAGTACTAATTTGAATAAATGCTCTTGATAAAAGTGATGAATCACATCGAGGCTGAATTAGCCAGTTACTATTCTGGTCTACCAGGGTTTGCCTGATGTCTGCTATGCACCAGGTTGGAGTTTGAGGCAGATTCAGGCACATAAATACATTGCGTGATATCCCCAGGATTCGCCTGATGCTTGCTATGCACCTGGAGAACTTGTCACCACTCCATAGAGTGGACACCAAATAAACCAGCAGCAAATAAAAAAAGGTGAAAAAATGGGTAAAGGGGCCTAAGACTCCAAGGCAAAAGTGTGTTTTCATGCAAATCCGCTCTTTTCAGTTTTTCAGGATTTTCAGGGCTAGCCAAAACAGTGATCTCCAAGACCCCAACAAAGACCAAACTTGGCACATGCAGACCTTGACCAAAAGTGAAACAGGGCAAAAGAAAAAAGAAACAAAAAAAAAAAAATCCCCAAATGCACTTTTCAGCGCTGGGGGGGTTAACCTCGGGCTAAAAAGTGGGGGTCCCTGTTAACGAGTTGTGTGCACCTGGTCACAGTTTGAGGTGAGATTCAGGCAGAAATACACTGCGTGTTAGGACATCGGGGGCCCAGCAGATAAGAGCTCACCAGTTGGGAGGCAGAAATACAGGCTGAGCACCTCCACAGCGATGGGAACCCTGCTGAGGATGGAGGGATAGTGACACATCAGCTTCTTTGGTAATGTGAGTGTAGTAGTAAACAGGGCCAAAAAAAAAAAAAAGGAAAAGAAGAATACGAAGAAGATAACGGGGGTATAGAGGGACAATCAGCTGGACACAAATGGTGCTACCAAGACAAGGAAAGGAGTAGCGGGGAAGAAGTTAAAGTGTTATGAAGCTCAAGAGATAGAGAGAACACCTCTTGGAGACACAGGAAGATGTCCGGAGGCTATTCACTCATCAGATAAAAGAGGGTAGAGGGGAAATAAGAGTGATGGAGAGAACAAAGAGTAGTCCTCCCATGCCGCTGAATGAGAAGCACTTGGACTGGGAAGTCGAAATCCCCCGCTCGCTGTAACTTATCAGCATGAAGGTGAGTGCCTGCACAGAGAAGGACTTTCGAAGCCTGATTGCAGAGGACTTACCTACACGGGTTCACGTTCTGGGAGGAAAAGGCCTAGCAGCAGAAGAGAGGGTCACCGGGAGCGGGAACCCGTCGGTTGACTTGAGGCCAATACTGCTGGTCCTACAGGAAAAGGCAGCTCTCAAGGGAGATCTGGTATGGATGCCATGGCGTGGTAGAGACCATACCATATGGGCTACTGGGAGGAGAGAAAGCTGCAGAATGGGTAGCCAGAAGCACGGCCATTGCAATAAAAATGGAGGCCTTTGCTTGGAAGCCGGAGTTTTTGGAAAACAAAATTGAGCCGGACTCCACACGGATAGATATGGCGTCGGTCGGTTCTTGAATTTTAAACGAGTGATGAAGATCCCCGAAACCCAGAATTAAACAGCCATGGAGAATCAAGGGGAGGGGAGACAAGCGAAGAGAAAAAGGGGGGAGCATGCAAGCATGGAAAGGCCAGAATTGAAAATCACTCCGTGGAATGTCAACGGTCTAGCGGGTATACTGGATAATCAAGACAAATGGAGTAATCTTATGAAGTCCACAGCATGGTACGACAGGGATCCCCCGGACTTTATCTGCCTTCAAGAAACACATCTCACGGAATCCCAGGAGCACCAACAGATACATAACAGATTGTCCTAGAAATTGCGATGGATCAAGATGGCCCAGTGGGCACCAGCAAGTAGGTCGCACTCAGCGGGAGTTGCTATTCTACAGAACAGCAGGGCTGCAGCAGCAGAAAGCGTAGTGATAGGGGACACCCAAGTGGATAGACAAGAAGGGAGATGGGTAAAAGTGGATTTTGCTTCCCACGACAGATCATACACTCTGCTGGCAGTTTATTGCCCCAGCGGGTTCCAGCAGAGAGCGCAGATGGTGGACAGTATTCACACACTCTTGGACCCAGCCAGGCACCTCATCGTAGTAGGTGACTGGAATGCTGCTTTAGACCCTAACCTGGATAGGATGTCAGGGGGCAATAGGCAAGGGGAAGGGGTGGCAGGAGAGGAGGCCCTCCCAATCCACAATATGATGGCCGACATTGATCTGATAGATCCCTATAGATCATTCTTTCCAGAGGAGAGACAATTTACCTATTACAAAAAGTCGGCACATTTCGGCGTCACGAATTGATTATTTCCTGACCTCACTTGATGTTACCGGTATGATTCATGCAGTGGGAATAGGGGACTTACCCTATATGGCAGGACTCGATCACAAACCCATCTATCTACACCTAACCACAGAGAAGCAATGTATTATGGGTAAGAGTTTTTACAAATTGAATAACTGGCTAATCTAGACTACCGAACTAAGACAGGCAGTCCTACAAGTTTGCCTGGCTCATCACCCGGAGACGCAGTCCTTCCCAGATCTGATGAACTCTTTATCCAAGGCAACGGCGGTGGTGGCGGGACAGCTGGCGGTCAAAAGGAAGAGGAGAGAGCAGGAGCTCCGGCAAGCCATCGGAATAGCGGAGAAAAACCTCGTCAGCCACGCCGACACGGACATGTATGAAAGGACTTTGGAGGCGGCAAGATCAGAACTAGGAAATTGGGAAAGATGGAGAATCCGGGGCCTGCAACTGAGGGCTAGAGTGAAGGAGTGGGAAGAGGGGGAAAGAATAACGAAGTTCTTCTTCCAAGAAAATAAGAACAGGGGCAGAAAGGCGCCGCCGGTTAGTGCAACCCCGTACCACTAGCGCTCACGCGCTCGTGCCCACGCCGCCCTCGCCGCGCCCGTTTCGAATTTGAAACGCAGAGATCCTCGCCCCGACGCGCGCCCCTCGCCCGCATGCCCCATCGCCAACCAGCGTGCCCGCCATCGCGCGGCCACGGGCAACGAAGGAGGCCCAGAAAAAGCCATCACCCCAACGCGCGCGCTACGCCCGCGTGCCACATCGACAACCAACGCACCCGCCACCTCACGGCCACGCGCAACGGAGGAGCCCCCAAAGAAACTAACGTCAGCCAGCCTACACGCCCAAAGGAAAGACTACAGGAGACCAAGCCTAACTTCGACCACATAGAAAGAGGGAGGGGGAGAGAGAGAGAGAGAGAAAGAGAGAGAGAGAGAGAGAGAGAGAGAGAGAGAGAGAGA